GGTGAATACGACGATGTGGGCCGTGATATTTAACGTGTCCCAAGCCTAACACCAGCTTTTCCCGATCCTGGACGACCAACATCTCTCCATCATACACGAACAGCGCGTGTGCCGACTCGTCAGATCTATTCATCGCAGGTTGATGTCTCTCTGATAGTGTGATCGACAGCTCCTCCACGCATACGAGAGTCCGAGTTCATGTTTTGAATCTCTTTGGCCTTGTGGAAGTGTGCCAGGTGTTTAGCTATAGGCGAAGTATATTAATATACACCAGATGACTGGTTTTCCCCATGACCCGATCTCATTCAGGTCACGGGCTGGCAGGCTTCATCCAACCAAACTGCCTGCCTACGTGCGAATCACGGCTCCATCCTGTGGCAGGACTAGGAGATGCACGAGCTGCAAGTGAAGCACCAAGACCCAGAGAGCATCTTCTCTATGGAAAACCTCACGAGGCGGTTCTCTCTCCTCGGTACGCCCTCTCTTCATAGCTTGTGACGACAACCGACGCAAAGGAACCCAGCTTGACCAGGACATCGAAGGGATTCAACTTTGGTCCAGCGGTGGAAGGCTGAACATACTGCAAGGGTTTTTTGCTTCACAGCGTGCTGCTCGACGCCGGCGTGCGTAGCCCTCTTGTATCGAGGGATGAGACAGAGCAAGAAAACGCGAATGCGCCTCGCTGGGGCGACTTTGAAAGATCAGATGAGCTGATACACAGATAAGTTTTGGGGCCCAGCTGATTGGTACATTGATGTATCCGTGATTGAGGTCCTGAAGATGCGGGAGAGGGAGATTGCGGCGACGTGTCTGGACGCTTCCAACAGGCAGTCGAGTGAGCCTATGCGGAATGTAATGGGCATGATGGGCAATGTATACCACAAGTTAAAGTTTGAGATTGTACAGGCCAAAAATTCTGGTGAGGGTGTGCTCCGTTGCCGACACTCTATTGAACCTGGCTCCGAGCCTCTGGCAAGGCGGCTGGGTGAAGCATAGTTCTCAGGACAACGCCTGCTAGGTTCTCTATCAGCATAGCTATACAAGGCTAAAATCATTGAGCGCAAAAAAGTCAGCCCAGACATGCGGACGCAAAACAAGCAGCTGGATCTCGGCGATGGCCGATACAGAGGAGTAGCTTTCCATATGCAGGACAAACTGGACGAATGTCCGTATAAATCGGACCACTCCTGTGCTGATGGGGGCTTACAAGACGCAAAGGGCACCTTTGACCTCACGGTCAAGACGTGTTTCTCGGCAAAGATTGATGCTGGCCGGTGCCGTGTCCAAGTTGACATCTTTACACCAATCCTCAGATGTAGTGAAGGAACATGAATGCAACTTCATTTCCGATTGTGGAAGGAGCCACCGTCTAGTCACCGTCCAAGGTACCTCATTACTCTATAGTCTTACAAATGCCCTCTGATGCACAAGATTTCTACATAGAACGCTCTTGGATTCTTCACTTGGCTAACGCATCAGCGTCCAGAGCTTGGCCATGGTAGTTGAAGCCATCTTTCGAAGCCACAAAAAACGTACAACTTGGTGAAACGTCACTTGCAATCCAGCTCGGGTCTCTCCTACCAAAATCACCTCCCTCATGCTGCTTCCCTGGCGAATCGACCATCATCACCCTCGGCGCCTTCGCGTACCAGGTAACCATTTTTGTGCCACGATTCTTAATATCAAAGATAATTAAATGAATTCCAGATAAGGCAGTCAATCATTACCTTCACGTTTTGACGATAAACTGATGCCATATTTACGTAGATCGATTGCCACCCAGACCATGGAGACGCAGCGTAACCAACCACCATTGGAGTCAAATGGTGCGCAACAAAACTTTATTCGAGAAACATGCAGAACTTAACCCTAAAATCCACCAACAATACTGCGTCACGTACCCCCGTAACCCAAGAAGGCTGATGATGGCTGATGATTTCGCCACCACGCGATGAGTATATATGCGCACTCTTCTCTTCATCCCCTTCTCTGGACTCTGATTGCTACGTAAAATTCCGCATCGTGTCTGACACTGATTAGCAGAATACGTCCTTCGTCATGGATTACAACTTGCTGCCTACCCCACCGAAGTGTCTAGCCGACTTTAATCTGGTTCCTGTAAGCCCAACTGACCAAGATTTGCATCTAGTTGTATAGTAACGCGGGTAACAGATTGGGACTGGTGAGGCTTCAATTGCCGAAGAACTTGCAGAAGTAGAACGACTTCTCAAACACACCGGGGTGAAGCATACAATGCAGACAACGGGAACAGTACTTGGTAAGGTCGACCTGCCTTCAGTATCCTAGTGCTTTCTAGGGAAAGCGTTTCCAAACCGTTTCAGTACTAATTGGTATTATCGCAGAGGGTACTTGGGATGAAGTCATGAATGCGATCGGCAAGGCCCATGCTGCTGTCCATAAACGCGGCGTGGCAAAAGTCCAGTCGGAAATCAGGATAGGAACCAAGGTGAGAGACCTGAATAAGGGTCTACTTCATGTGCAGTGGCAGTCTATCTAATTTTAAGCGCATAGAACCGATAAAGCGGGAGGAGAACACGCCCCTGTTGGCAAGCCCGAGTGATGCAACGTTCTGGGGACCTAGAATAACTGCACAGGGAGATTGGAACCTGGAGAGGGAGGAAGCATTTTGTAAGAACCAGTACTGGGCTGGTCGCTCTATAACATGCGTATCTAACATGCACGTACTGCAGTTGGAGAGAGAACAAGTTGATGCTTTTTTTTTAATTCTGACACAGATCAGCTCAGTGAGGGTTAGTACCGTCATTTTGTTCACATAGGCACTGCCTTAGAGAAACACATGTGAATACGCTCATCTTTCCTGCTTTTATACGCAGGAGCAGTCAGCAATGCAGCGTTCCTACGGCTCCCGACAAGAATGCTATTACTGCATATATCCAAATTGCAAACTTTCTATACAAACTCCATCACAGTTTACCAAGCATTAATAAAGCATGGTAGCCTTTACACCAAGGTCCAGAAATACTCCCTTGAGTCTTGATCCAAGCGACATGGCCGCCATGTTGACGTCAGGATGACGGACGAAGCTGGTGGCGCCGATTTGTGGTCCAGCGCCATATAAAGCTCACAAAGGGGGCAAAATAGCCCGTTTAGTTGGGGTGGACATGGACGGTCCAAACAATGAATAACCTCGGCGATTCTGTTCATCACGAAGACGCCAGACGACTCTCGCCTGCGCGGCGGGCATTCACGTCCTTCACGACACGGTGGTTCCTCATACCGCAGGGCACCGGCATCCTGGCCATTGTGCTCAACCAACTGCCCTACCAATTCCATGGGCTGCACACAATCTCCGTCGTATTCTGGTTCCTCAACATTGTGCTGCTGGCGGCCATGCTTGCCATCTTTCTCCTGCGGTTGCTCGCGTCGCCCCGGGTCGTCGCCAGGTCCATCGCCACCGACACGACCGAGGCGGCCTGCACGGCCAGCATCAGCATAGCATTCATGTCCTGCATCCAGATGCTCTCCCTGGTGGTGATACCCTCCTGGGGCGGCAGGGGCTGGAGCCTTGCCGTCTACATTCTGTGGTGGGCAAACTGCGCCTTCGCGGTGCTGGCCTGCATCGGCCTACCAGACGTGTTCGTCAGGTCGATTCGAAGCGAAGGCGGGCTGGCGAGAAGCTTTACGCCGGTGGTACAGCTCCCTCTCATCGCGGCGCTGACGTCGGCCGCCGGCGCAGGGACGCTCTGCCAGTCCGCCGTGCTGGGCGCCGCGCAGAAAGTGCCCATGATCGTCGTGGCATATCTTGAGATTGGGCTGGCGTTGCCAACGGTCCTGGCATTCGACGTGCTGTACCTGGCCAGGTTGCTTCAGCCGTGGGAGGAACCCGCGGGCTCGCATCACGAGTTTCCCCCGGAGCAGATGTACTCGCACATGGTGCTGTGCGGGCCCTGGGGGCAGAGTAGCTTTGCGCTTCAGACTCTTGGAAAGGCCGTCTTCCAACTCAAGGGGGGGTTTGGCGCATCCGGGCAAGCAGCGCTCTTGTTCAGCAATCAGGGGGCTGACACGGTTGCGTTCGCGAGCATTCTCGTTGGGCTTGTGAACTGGGGCCAGGGCACATTCTGGTGGGCATTCGCCATTGTTAGCATTACAAGGTCTGTGGTTGCAAGGTTGAAACAGAACCACTCTATTGCCTTCCATTTGTCCCTGTGGGCAACCGTGTTTCCGTGGGTAAGTCGGCGACTCTGTTGACAAGACGGTCAAGATATTGCTAATGGAGGCCTAGGGTGTGTATGCAAACTCTGCCATCCAACTTGGCAGGACCTTGCCGTCTGCTGCGTTCAAAATCTGGTCGACGGTGCTGGTAGTAATTCTGGTGCTGATATGGTTTCTGTGTTCGGTATGTTCGGTTCTCGGTCTATATCATGTGTGCGCTCGGAGGACGGCGCGGCGCTGAGAGCTCAAAATGCTCAATGGTGTTGCCCATGTTCCTGTTCTTGATGCCGCTAACACAAAGCCCTACCTATAACCGATGCCTGTGACGGCTTTGATGGATAAAGATGATAGTGGCTCGTTGGCTATGGCCACAGTAATGCATCTAGACCAAGTCGAAAGCCTGGGCTCCTTGCAGAATGCACCTCGATTCATTGATGATGTTGTCGTATGTCAGTTTGTGAGCACCATCGTTTCTGTCCAGCTGTGTAACCAGCTCTCCGATACTGTGTTGCTGGCAGTGAGGTTCGGATGGCCATGACAAGGATCTCGATGTATACTCAGCAGACACTGAACCTCCCTGGTAGCAAGTTGTATATGAAACCATGATCGAGTTCGTCGACAAATCCGTCCAGGTCCCGAATGCCGTCAAGGCTAAATGGACGGCAGAGGCAAAGAAATGGAGTCTGCCCTACTGGCATTTTGCGCGGCTTGCTATACACTGCCGCATCCTGATTCCCACCCGTTGCTACTAAAAATACATGTGAGGGTGTTGCAACGAGGGCGTAGCCGACCCCAGACAGCCCCAACTAGTCGTACCACTCTAAATCCTCGGATGAATCGCTGTCTGTAAATTCCTCCGAATCTTCATAATACTTTCTTTCCTCTAGTCTGCGCAAAGTAACAGCCTCCATCGCGACATGGACTCGGCGAGCCGCCTCGGTGGCCTCGTCGTCGGTCATCTTCCACGGCGACTCGAAACCGTGGTCCGCGACCCAGGACTCTACCACCTTCATGTCGGCGCCTTCGAAATGAGTCGCGAGGGCGCGTATCATGGCCTTGCGCATGTAGTCCCCCGGCGTCGGGAACGGGCGTTGGGTGTAGAACCGGGCCCAGACATCCTGCCATCCGGCTCGTTTGACGTCTTTGATGCGGGCGAGCGCCATGACGAAACGGAAATACAGAAAGCGTGCAACGGGGCGTTTGTCGCCAAGGAACTTCAATTCCTTTCCGTTAATGTCTTGTCCCAAACCCTCGGGCGCGGACCAGCATAATTCCCTTCGGATGTCGTCGGTTATTACACCTATCCGCCATCGAGTAATGGGGCGTTCCGTCGCGTTCACCGGGATAATCACGATGTCATCGTTATCAAACCAGTCCTTCAAATAGCTTCGCATGAAGAGAGCATTCCCTGGTCGCTCGGTGGATTGTGCCCTTGGGCCAAAGAGCATCTCACCGATGCAGCCGGCATCCGGAAGGGGGGGCACGATACGCACCGTTTTGACGCAGGTAGCACTGTGCCACGCGCCGGAGATATGGCACCAAACCGCATCCTTACCCTTGCCGTAGTCGATGCCGTTGGCATGGTAGTAGGCCAAAGCGCCGGCGCGCCAAGTATTGGGGCGTGGATGGTCAATATATCCTCGGGACTTAGAATGTGCGCGTCGTCTCTGGATTTGCCCTTCGGGTCTCTTGTACAGAGCAAAAAGGCACTCGGGCAGGCCGTCATCGCGTGGGTCTAACAGTCGTGCCGGTCGGGGATCGAGCCGCCTCTTCTTCTTTTGATATCGCCATAGCTCGTCGCCCGCACGGAAGAAGCGTTGGCTTAGCTCTTGAAAGCGTTGCTTGGCCTCTTCGGGCTGCAATACGCCGGCCTCCCGCTTGATGATGACGATATTTTGCTCCAGCTGGATGGTGCTTTTCTGCCGAGAAGCTAGCTCAATACCAAGTATTGCTAACTGCAGAGACGCTTCGCGATCTGGCTCTGGCTGCTCTTGGTCGGGATCCAGGTCTGGCTCAATCTGGCGGGATAGCTCGTCGAATTCCATCTGGAGATGTACCAAGGCGTCTTGTGCTTTGGTATAGTCAGCCCTCAAGGCGACTAGGTTTGATACTTGGGGAGCCATAGATGGAAGAGTCATCAGGTGTTCTTGGCAGGTCTTGAAGAGAAAAGCAGGTAGAGTGGTGCCGCCTCGCCTCTTTTTTATACATTTACGACTTTGAAATGTTGGATTATGAGTCAGACAGACAAGCATTGGGCTAGAGTAAACTTTAATTTTGTATGTTGTATTATAATATACTATACCTAGGGATGATGGTTTATCGCAAAAAGGTAAATTAAAAGTCGGCTTGAGCCAAGTAAAAGTAGCCCCAAAAGCTACCTGTTTACGGCTACACTGGCCTTACAAAGTAGTCATCGTCGTCCCGAAACTTCATGCCTAGTAGAACAGCACTGAGGGCCTAGACGATTAAGTTCAAGGTGCTAGATCTTTAGCGGCCAAAATCGAGCGGCTACAAGCGGTATATTTTGACGGCTCTGAGGCTTAGCCAATAATCACAGGTTCAAATCGGCCATTCGAAAGCCGGACTGCTGCTACGGTTCCACAACCAACGCCATGGTCTCTCAGATACGACAAAGTTGCAAAAGGCGTAACTGAGTGACTGGACACGCTTCAATCTTCACCAGCCTAGAAGGCGCTTAAAGCTATCTAGAGAGACTACAGTGAGATACAAGAGAAATTAAATCATATCAGATACCCGGGTATCGCTCTCTATATTATGCTATACCGCAATATATTAGCGTATACTTCTTGATGGGCAAATATATTCTGCCACAGATTATAATAGACAATTAAGACATTGACACTAGGCATAGCACCGAAATAAAGTGTACCGGGAACTATGCGAGAAAACAGCAACAAGTATTCCCTTAGAACTACAAGTAGGAGGAAGTCGTGGGCGATGGCTTTCTGGCAACTGGAAGCTCAGAGCCACGCAGCTTGGTGATGGAGGTGTCACATCTCACAGAACCAATCGCATTCTTTAATAGAGGTCTACTCTCTCATGGCCTCAACGCTAGCAAAGTCCAAGGCATTTCGCGAGTCCCCGTATATACTTACCTCTGTAAGTTTTCGCTTGACCTTCTCCAACCCCCCTCGGCAGTTCCAATTAAAATAGCTCTAATACAACAAACACAGTTGCATGTTCGAGTAGACAAGGTGAACCATTAAAAGGGACTATGGAATGATAGCCAAGTAATCTTCCTAATATACTGTCCCGCGTGCTTCTCTCTCGTCGTGTCAACTCAACATTTTCAACCCCCATAGCCTCCCTAGCTCTGAGGATTGACAGGAAGAAATAACGAGTTAAAAGTCTTGGAATTATTGGTCACAATCCCCTTTGAACTCTCAAGGTACGGCACAAACCGAAACAGGGGCTGCTTCCCCGCCTCGCTCTCCTCCAGCGGTATCAGCTTAAACAAAATCGCACTCGTGTCCTTGTTCGTGCTCGTAGAGAAATCAATGTTCCACCCCTGCTGGTACATCTTGCTGTACCGGAGCCGCTTGTTCCCTTTATTATCCCAAGCAGACAGGAATCGCATCGCACCAAGGGGCTCAGAGTCCTGCTCGAGGGCGAAATTCCACGCCTCCGTCTTGTTCGTCTGCGTAGGCTTCTTGCCGCTACCGAGGCACGGAATGTAAAAGTTATTCATGACGAGGAAGTAGTCGCTCTTGTCCTTTTGCTGCCACCGCTGCCACTGGTTGCCGCCCTGGTTGCCGGCACTGTCAAGGCTGGGCTTCAAGAAGCGAAGGCCAGGCGGGTAGAGAGTATTACACAGCGTGTCGGCAATGGTGGTTACGCGATCCTCGCATTCTTTGCGGAGACGCTCTGCGTCCGTCTCGGCTGCTCACCCGGCAAGGTTAGCTGGGCGCACCAAGGCACGGGGAGGGAAGGGAGATGATGGTGGAGGGCATTGCCACGTACAGTAGGCTGTGAAGAGGCTCAGCACGAGACCCTGGCGCAAGAGATAGGCAATCGGCCCCAGGTTGTCGTCCATTTCCTTGACGTAATCGGCCATGAAGTAGTAGAGGTTTTTGTCGTCCTTGAGCTTGGGGAACGCCTGTCCGTGCCAAACGTAGATTGCGCCGGCGCCCTGCCCGGGCAGCCCCATGATGGCATTGTAGATGGAAAAGGTGCTATAGCGGACGCCGTGGTTCTCGTTTCGGAGAGCTGCGAGGAGTTCGGCGTAGGCTGGGTCGGCCTCGTCGATCACTCCGCCGTTTAAACTGGGCAATGTTAGCGGTGTGAATTGCTCGCGTGCGATGGCGCAACAGACGTCTTGAAATCGTCCATGATCTCATCCATCCGCTTTGACCAGTAAAGAATACGTCTCATGGCTTCTAGGATCTCGAGCTTGATGGACAGGTTTTCAATCTGGCGGGCTATTTCATTTTGTCCGGCAATGATGGTATCGAGGAGTTCGGCGGTTGGCACGGCTTGCTTCCCTGTGATGGCACCCCAGGCTTCTTTCGCCGCAAATTTGGCAACCCATTTGCCGACATCCGCGAGTAATGACGCCATGTTTGTGCAAGTTAGAAAAGAGGGACTTGGATGCCTGACAGAAATCGCTTTGGTAGTGGAGAGTATGAATGTGGGCGTTGGAGATTGCTCCTGGTGTCTACCCCATGATGAACGCCGTCTTTTTATACCCTACGGCACGTCTTTTTCATTTATTTAATTCGAAAGGTCTTAGGGAAACCGTTCATGCCGGTCCTCCCGCTTCACCATCCTTGACAGTCCTGTCCCGATGAGCTTTATGCACGCCAAGCCCTTTCCGCAGGAATATCTGCAGACTGGTGCGGACATGCCGCCATTCTTTCAACACATGATGCCTATGAGATCTTTCCCCGTGATTGACGACATGGAAAGCGGAGGCGAGGTAGGATCAATGGAAGTCAAGAACTTGCTGAGTAGTCTTCGGCCTCGGAGTTTGAGCTTCAGGTGCAGAATGGCAGGTTGCTACAAGGCAGCAGCGCTGCATGGATTTACTAATCGAGATTTGGCCGCATGTGTATCTACGGATATGAGGCATATGCTCATCCGGTCGTAGGTGTGGATGACATGGCCACAGCCCGCATAGTGTAATCGATAAATGAGTGAGCATTCTATCAGCGTTTTCTTTAGCTTTTATACGTTAAAGATGAGGCAGCTTACTTACAGTTGGCAAGTAAAAGAGGTAAATATAGGACATCACTAATAGAATCGGAGGCCTAAAGTGATAAGACGACGACAAATGTTCCCGTCGCTAGCTACTGGGCAACATCGTGCGGCAATGCGATGGGATATCTAGGTATCCGGTACGCCCGACCTCCCGTGGGCATCTTGCGGCTTCGCAGCATTGCAAGAGCCCGTCGATGATGAGGAATCCTACGTGGCAGCCAACTATCTAGGTGTCACGCCGCAGTTTCCTCGTCTCTCTGGAATATTGCTTCAGTGAGGGCTATCCCGGGTTTCGCAAAGGAAGTAATACCTACAGGTTACACATTGGCGAGTCCCATCTCACGTCCCATCTCCTTTGCGTTTTGCCTGGGGAAACAAGAGGCTACACAAACTGTGAGCATGTCTTGGGGGTAAACATCACGCTTCTTTCTAGGCGTGGGAAGTTGGCCAAACTCAGTTTAACTTTACTCGGGAGCCCTCACATGACTTCGACAGCAGCATCTTTGCAGCCCTAATACCCCTGTCAATCTCGCCGTCCGACTTGCATGTGCATAACCAAGACTCATGAAGCACCAAAGCAAGTACCTCTAGATATCAGGCCGTCTATAACCATCAGATGCCTTGACACCTGGCGCCTAGCACCTCCACCGTGTGATTTAATGTGGGGTATCAGCTGAGGTCTATGACATTGAGTGGTAAGCTCAGATTGAACTCACATCCCCAGAGTCATGATTGACTCACATTTGTCACGTCACATCAGGCTCACATCCACAAGGCAAGAAAGTTCTCAACGAGCGGGTGGCCCAAATGGCCGTTGACCTGTTGGGTTTTGTGGTCATAGATATGAGAAAGATAAACACGCGCAGTATTGACGGTGCACAGCAAGGTGTACATACTCTAGGGACACTGTAAAATAAAATTGCATTGCTAGTATGCTCAATCTCTTCGTGTCTCTCTATACCTAGTATTTTTTATCTCTTACTGCAAGAGCCCTACAACCCAGCCTTCTCATTCCGTTGGGACTGGTCTATCGTATATACGGTAGACCACCGTCATAACAATCCTATATCTTAGCGATAGTTTAGTATATATTGGTGTACATCTTATTGCAAATAAATTTCTTTTATTATCAATGACCTAAATTATATAAGAACATTCTAAATACAGTAAATAATAGAGGGGTAAGCGCCTGGCACTTAGTAGAAAGAGTGAGCCCGCCAGGCAACTCACAATGAGACCAACATCAGGGCTTGGCCAAGCCACAGCTTGGCGCTATCAGCCCTAGCCAATCACGCACAGGTGAATCATTAAATCAGGCAAAATGCTTCAAGGGCGGGTCACGGTTAAAGCGCCCTGCCCCGGTCCTATTTTCCCACCTACTTCTTCACAACAAAATTCTATTCACACCGCGATTAGTACGCAGCCAGTTTTTAACAGCCAGTTTTTAACTACTACTACTACTACTACTACTACCACTCTATTGCAAACTACATCAAGTCTGAAATCATCTTCGAGACGAAAATAAAGTAAGCGTCTCTCATTTCTGCACGTTGCCGCTCCCATCAATGGCAAAACTTGACCGTGACTAACCCATCAAGCAGAATGCCTTACCACGCGGAATGGGAAGAGTACATCAAGCACTTCCGAGAGAATCGGCGTTTGCTTGTCGCCCGCAACATTGATTTCAATGCTACTCGGGCTGAATTTGAAGATCATGTCCGAGCCAGGCTCACCAAGCCCGGCTCCGTCATCTTCCTCTGGCCGCCAGCTCCAGCCCAGTACAACAACTTCAACAACCACATAGGCTGGATGATGCTTGGGTTCAACCACCGGCCCGATGCTAGGATGGCTCAGGATGACCTCGCGAACTAGGAGTTCCGCGGCCGCCGAGTCAGAATCGACCGAGCAAGCAGATCTGCCGTGAGTCTCTAGATACACCCTTCTTTCTCCTTTGCCTCCTGCCTTGAACACTGCTTATTGTAAATGCCAGTATCGCCCTCTGCCGAACGTTGCTGGCCCAAACCACAACGCTGCCCCTCCAAACCCCGCTCCCCCCACGGCTCCCACCGTCCCGGGCCCCTCGACCTCTGCTCCAAGGACTGCTGCTGTCAATCTCCCCGACCAGTCCACTTCGGCCCACGGCTCTGCCTCCCGCGTTCAGCCCAGGGGGTACAGAGGCCCACACAGACAAAGACAAAGACGCCAACCAGAACCACGAAGATGACCACCGCAAGGTGTAACGGCAAACCTCAATTGGTAGATGGGCGAAAGCCTACTCTCCTTAATTCCTTTATAGGTGAAAACCTCATTCCTTTATAGGTGAAAACTTGATTCCTTCATAGGTGCAAACTTGATTCCTTCATGGTTGTAAAACCTTGGGCGCTCGCCCTAAGGTCGTTCTGGCAGCCCTGCGGGGAGTGGGTTCGATTCCCACGACGATCCTGTGAACCTGTGGAGAGTATTGAAGGTGGGGAGGAAAGGCATGTCCTCGTTTTTACTCATAGACGGTATTTAACTACCTAGGTATGTATGCCCGTCAGTCCTTATATGCCTCTATGCGAAAGCATCTTTGAAGCATGCAGCAGGTATCAGCACTTTGGCAAGTATTCATTCTGTTCTCTCTTGGGCGAGGGGCAAAGTTCTACGACGAGGAGTCCATTAAGGCGGCTCACCAAATCGAGCGACTCTTCGATGGAAGCCGCGTATCAAGCTCGAAAGAGCGGGTGTCACAGACACGAGTCGTGGTGGCCATTCAGAGTTTTCCAGAAAAATCGAGCTTTGGTGGGCCATACACAACGTACTGTATCTATAGCCTTACCCAAGAAGGTTGGTAAGCGCCCCAACTGTGCTCATCATGGAGGTCACATCTCGGAACTATTGTTCGGGATACTAATTGATTGGTGGACGTCTGCGCCGCCCATGCCCCAAAATTTGAAAGATCTAGCCGAGGCTCCGAGAGTCTCCAGTTCCACGGACCGCAAAACCTACTAAAAGTATGGAGCGTACTTAACAATCAGCAAGATGCTTACGAAGCTCCCAGGCGCTCGAGCATGGCACAATCAACGGAATGCGACGCTATCCCTTGCGTCGAAGCCTAGCGTCTTAGCGCAATAAAATGCCGCGATTTGGACCCCTCCCAGATTCCAGCGCTTAGAAATACTGGCGTATGTGAATACTGCGGGTGATTAATAAAGTACAGTGCAATGCGCAATTGTGCGTGATATGGCGTTGCAATCCCGATCGAGTTGAAAACGTATTAAAAGACTCGACGAGTCCGCCTGTATTGCCATTCAGAAAGTAATCCAATAGTATAACAAGTCGAATACTCGCAAGCCTAGCCCGCAAGTTCACCAGCCATCAACCAACTACCAACCCCCACAGAGTCGTCCAAAATGGCCTCCTCAAATCTATTCAAGCCTCTGTCCATAGGAAACATCACGCTCAAGCACCGCCTCGCACTCGCGCCCCTAACCCGCTTCCGCGCCTCGGACGAACACGTCCCGCTGCCCATCGTGACGGACTACTACAAGCAGCGCGGCTCCGTCCCGGGAACTCTGCTCGTCACCGAAGGCACATTCATCTCCGCCCAAGACGGCGGCTACAGCAACGTCCCCGGCATCTGGAACCAGGACCAGATCGACGCCTGGCGCAAAGTCACCGACGCCGTCCACAAAAACGGGAGCCACATCTTCGTCCAACTCTGGTCCCTCGGCCGCGTCGCCGCGCCCGACGTCGCCGCCAAAGAGGGCATCACCATCCTCGGACCCGACACCATCCCCGCGACCGCCGACTCCCCCCAGCCGCAGAAGCTGAGCACCGCGCAGATCCAGCAAAGGAAGGAGGCCTACGTCGCGGCGGCCAAGAACGCCATCGCCGCCGGGTTCGACGGCGTCGAGCTCCACGGCGCAAACGGCTACCTCATCGACCAGTTCCTGCAGGACGTCTCCAACCAGCGCGACGACGAGTACGGCGGCAGCGTCGAGAACCGGTCCCGCTTCGCCGTCGAGGTCGCCGCCGCCGTCGCCCAGGCCATTGGCCCCGAGAGGACGGGCATCCGCCTCAGCCCCTGGAACACGTTCAACAGCATGAGGATGGCGGACCCGGTCGCCCAGTTCTCCGACGTCATTGCCCGCCTGGACCGCCTGGGTCTCGCCTACCTGCACCTCGTGGAGCCCCGAATCTCGGGCAACATCGACGTCGAGACCGAGGACGCGGAGAGCCTGGAGTTTGCGTACAGGCTGTGGAGGGGCCCGCTCCTCGTCGCCGGCGGCTTCACGCCCGAGACTGCGAGGCGCCTGGTCGACGAGCAGCACCCCGATCGCAAGATTGTCGTCGTGTTTGGCAGGCGCTTCATCTCGACGCCCGATCTGCCGTACAGGGTGCAGAAGGGGCTCGCGCTGGCCGAGTATAACAGGGACACGTTCTACAATGCAAAGGATCCTGTGGGCTACACCGACTATCCCTTTAGCCAGGAGTTTATCAATAGCAAGGAGGGGCAGGCTATAAAGGTTGCATCTGGTTAAGAAGGCGCGCGTGAGTGGAAAGAGATTGTTTCCCTTTTGTTTGGTATTCGGGCATTTCAGCATGTAGAAGGCGTATAGAGACAGCAAGAGTTAGAGATGTTATTAGTGACTGGAAAGTACATATAGACAGCAGGATTAGAGAAATTAGGAGTCATTTTTCACAAGACAAGAGGGACACTCCTAGAATTGCAAGCCAACTGAAGCTTGTCTAAAAAGCAGCGATGCTCCACTGATAGAAGTCGTAATGCCGCAGTACCCATCGACCTTGAGTCTCAAGAAACGTACTGGGCTCCCGTTTACCGCTGTCCGGCTCATCTGGAAACATCGCCCCCAGGCCCACAAGGGTCATCTTGTCTCACAGAGCGTGCAGCCAGCGCGCCTTCAAAAAGAACCAAGATGTGCTTCATTTCGCTAGCATCAAGATGGAGTTTTAAGTGAATCCTGTCGACATGCAAGTGCTGAAACCGGTCTCTGCTAAGAGTAAGGACCCTGACGCCTGCCTCTCCTTCTCCCGGACTGCGTGGGGCTAAATCCATTTGTCTAAGGCTCCAAATGTCGTAAATCTCGCCATCTGGGTTGTGGAATTGGGCTGAACGTATTGCATCTTATATTCTATGCTATGAGGCCGTGGTTGAGATTTACAGGATTAAAGACGTAACCATTTGGCTTAATGTACTACGGACAGTTCAAAGTAAACCGATTCTAACACAATCAAGTACCTAGCTATCACGCTATACATTATCATATATTAAAGTATACTTTTCAGTAACTAGAAGAGACGCTTCTAAGCCGGGATTTGAGCAAAACAGAGGGCAGGCAGGTGATTCGAGAGTTGAATTGCATATCAAGCAAAAAGCTGATCTGGTACGGCGCGGGTTGTTTACTGAGCAACCTTGGTAATATATGCGACGAGATGTTGTAATGAACACGGCGTCAAGGGAGCGTCACGACTCCTCGTGAATCGTCACTTTAATGGCGCGCAATGATGGAGTGCTTTTTCCGTCTTGCCCATAAATTCACAACTCGTTCAGACAACAACCATAAATGTTCCCTACCGGCAGTCATCCCATTCTGTCGTTCTGGACGCCAAAAACTTTGCAGTTTCGCCTGGATCATCAAGACCTAGGTCGAATTGAGACCTATTGTTGCGTCTAGAAGATCTTGTCTAACAGACGCTTGATCGGCAGGAGGGCCGTGTGCTAGGGCGCATGAAACCTGACACTCCCAGCATCTGATTGTGAAGTGAACCAACGGTAGCAATGACGGATTCCCTGATTTTGCAAAAGACCCAACTCGTTAGCTGGATTCTACCAACACACCGAGGATATAGTCACGTTTGGGGGCCTTCCGAGGTCCCGCAGGAGGATCACTTGCGGGCCGCTGTACACCTTTGGCAGAGCCAAGAAAACTTCCATGTGAGGTTCGCCAGTAGTATTTTCGACACGACGATATAGGTGGGAGTCACCAGAGATGAGAAGCTGCTGCTTGCTTCACTAGGTTGTAATTGATTGCGGTACACGCGTGACATGGTTGCGATACGGACTGCAATGGTGAAAGCCATAGCAGTGTCCGTCGTTGGACTGCCGCCTTGATCTTGTATGGCTCGTTGGAGCCGCTAGATATGGCCTGAGTGGTCTGGGCAAATTGTAGGACTACTGACACTCTACAGGATTGTCTTGACACTCAGTCAGCACACGCAGGGTGTCCACTATTTGGTCGTGTTGGTGGACGTTTAGACATACAGAACACAGTGCGTTCCAGAAACTGCCACTCTTCGGGAAGCAACTTGGGGGCTACGGTTGTGGCTTGGCCCGTTCCTGGCCGATATCCTCACTCACTTGGTTGGTTCGATCGTGCCCGTTTTATCAGATTTGCCGCCTTCTGACGGCTTGTTTCTCCGGATATCTCCACCGTCACATGTAGATATGTGCAGGTGTTGTTCAAATGGTGGATACAGGCCCGCGTAGAGGGCAACATGCAGAAGAGACAGATCGGGGCGGAGCTCAACAGAGATGCGGGATGTTGGGCGTTATTGCCGAATGTCCAATGAGAATGTAGAATGTTGTAGCTCCCAAAGAAAAGCATGGACCGTCGTATTCGTATCGCGGCCGATGGACAGTCAACCGTCTGCTCCCACAAGCTCTGATCGAACCACTGAACGCAACAGCCATGGGGCGGATCATCCAACAATCGGTCGAGAGCAAAATATCCTCGTGGCTGTTCACTTTGCGGCTTAACATTTGAAAAGACCTAAAAAGTCCTGTTTTTTGTACTGCGATATTTTATGCTAAAAGTCATCCACCACAATTTCTTTCCTTTTCGACGCCTTTGGAAACATACATACATACCGCCGTGGACAACTACATACTGCTGCAAAACATGTCCTCCTCAGCGGGAAGGAATCACATCAGGCCATCGGAGTCCCACACATCCGGTTGGCACCCACATCAATCCCATGGGGACGGCGGAAAGGGCAAACGACTCCAAATGGGACCACGTCAAAGAAAGGGCCAATAAAGTACCGACGTTTGGGAATAGGCGTTGGTTCCTTGCCAGCGGCCAATGCTGTCCAGATGTGCAAGTGGTCCGGTCCGTCAGTCCGCAATCCAGGCTTAGCTGCTGAAATATTTCACATTTGCGCCAGAGTGAGACGAGATGCCATGCCCGGATCCAGAGCTTCCGTCCTCTGGTCCGTACTCGTTTACAGGAGTGAAAGGGCACCATGGAGTCTGTACGCTGCGGATAAGAAAGAACATGACCCCTTTGATCTACTTTGCATCTACATCCCGCCGTCTAGTCGGCTCTCCTCAACCATCGAGCACCATTTAACGACTGGCCCGGCCCTTTGTCCCAACTCATGAGCTCATAATCCATCCAACTACGTCTCTAAAACTACCGCCCATCATGGATGTCGTTCTCGACCTCTACGAAACATATATAGGCGACCATGTCTATGCTAGGCTGCTTCCAGCGCATCCTCCGCCGTACGATGCTGATTTATTCGCCAACACGACCATATTTCCGTTTGGATTAGAATGCGAATATAAACCGCCGACCAAGTACTTCACTGTGCGACCCTCGCCAGCTGTTTGCCAGAGCGCCTGGGCGAGAGACAATATTCTCAGACAGTCCATCGACCTCTTTCTATTGCTGTGGTGAGTGTTCTACTCTGTTGCCAACACCTCGTATATACATGGCCGCCTAACCAGACGTCTCCGCGCGACAGGATCTTTGGCATGGCGGTTTACTTTTTATTCTCCACGCTCTCGTACGTCTTCATCTTCGATAAGCAGCAGCAAGAGCACCCGCGCTATCTCAAAAACCAAGTCAGGCTAGAGATCCAAGAAACACTATGGGCACTTCCCGGCATGTCTCTCCTCACGCTTCCTCTTGTTCTTGCCGAAGTCCGCGGGCACACCAAAATGTACGATACCGTGGCGGAAGGGCCCGGCCTCTGGTACGAGGTCCTCCAGTTCCCGCTGTTTCTGCTGTTTACCGATTTCTGCATCTACTGGATTCACCGGGGCCTGCACCATCCGCTGATATACAAGAACATCCACAAGAAGCACCACAAGTGGGTGGTGCCGACTCCCTTTGCGGCGTATGCCTTTCATCCCGCGGACGGCTGGGGCCAGTCTCTCCCTTATCACGTATTCACCTTCATCTTCCCCATGAACAAGTTTTCCTTCCTGGTGCTCTTTGTCTTTGTCGTCTTTTGGACGATACTCATCCATGATGGTGAATACCTGGCGGACAACCCCGTCATCAACGGCGCCGCCTGCCACACGATTCACCACTTGTACTTCAACTACAATTACGGTCAGTACACGACGCTGTGGGATCGAATCGGAGGCAGCCACCGCGTCCCGGACAGGGAAATGTTTGACAGGGCCAAGAAAAACGGCAAGACGGAGTGGGAGAGACAGAACAAGGGGGTGGAGGACATGATTCTCGAGGTGGAGGGACAAGACGACCGGGTGTACTCGCCAGAGGAGCTCAAGAAGAACAAGTGAAACAGACAAAGGAAGGCCGTGGGGTGGTTTATTTGCATGCCGTCTTGTGTATATCTTGTCCAACGGGATGGTTTCCGGGAGCGCTAGACTGAGCCGCCGTTGCGCGCTCAGTGTGGGATACTTGTTAATTGTGTGCGTTGACTTGGGTGACGGTCCCTTTGACTTGAAAAAATATTGTATTTGGGGCAAGGTTGGTATTGATTCACTAAATTAATAGACTCCTAATTTTCTACTTTGCCATATGATTTATGCTAGTACTTCTAATATTCTCTATATTTATACAGTACACTATTATAGTGTTGGTAATGCGGCTAAATGTGGGCAGGTGCGCGATAAGGGACTTGATGGCTGAATATCCCGTCCAGGAAGCAACGCTATATAGTTAGTACTTGCAATTAAACTTACTGGGGATATTCCTACAACCTAACTTGGTTTGAATCCATCGAGCATTCATTTGCTGCTTGTGAGGCGCAGCTGACCCAAGGGTTCGTGTTACATCCACTACCCCAGATGTCAGAGTGCAGTGCAGCCCCAGAATTCCCACTTTTACCGTTGGCAACTTGAAAAGAGGCATCATTGACGACGGTGGTCCTACGAACGACTGTCCCAGCACGGCGGCGCCAGACCGGACACTGTTTGGCCGTCTCGGTGCCAGAAATAGTGAAGGCATCGATATTTCCATGTTGCCATGGCCATAGCTTTCATGCCATGTCGGGCGTTCCGGTTATCAAACGGGGACGGCGGGCTCAAGGTCCGTCCACCTCTGTCTCCCGTCGCTCTTTTATCTCTCTGCTTGCCACTCCTTGACACGCACGAGGGCACAATCGAGAGTGCACCAGTAAGTTTGTGCACCCTTCATCCGAGCATTATTATGGAGTTGTCTGTCGTTAGCTGGAGAGATTTCTCGGTCTAGTCATGTAGTCTGACGTTGCAGCCCCCACCGTCGATGGACCGGTTCGCGGTAGCCTCATGTCGGCTGGCCAGTGAGAGGAAAGGATTGCAAAAAGCTGAGCCCTTGAGATTGGCGAAAATAATGGAGCCCAGTTGCAAGTTCCCGGCCGCAGTTGGCGCAGCGTTGTAGTGGCAGCAACTTTAAAATCTTGCACTCACGGATGAATACGGCGGTCAAATTGTTGATGTGCAGAAACACCCACCGGGTTGAATGGGAGATTGTTCAATAGGGCACGGGTACTTCGTGACTTGACTGTTGTCCTGTACTTAAAGGAAATGAGCAATATCTGACAAGTACCACCAGACTCTGTATGTACAGACACCAGCGCCGAATGTGCGGGAGCCAATCAGGCGTCTGGCGACAGCCATGGCGACAGCAGACTGTCAAGTTCCCCAGCTGAGCCGTCAATTGGTCTCTGATTAGGAGAACATTTGATGACATCGGAATGTGCAGTCCATGCTTCCTTCAGCAGGTACTCCGTGCCGTAGACGCAGCCCCCAATGAGCCCCTATTTTTTACCTTGATTGTACTCCGTACATAACATATCTACGGAGTAGCCTCTTGCCATGTTGCCTTCTTGCCTTTGGAACAAGGCACTGGGCTGATTAATTTCTCTTTCCTGGCGACACTTTGGGCTGTGTCTGCCCCTGCCGAAATCCTGGGCTCCTCCATCTCTCTCTCTCGCTTCTTGGCTGTTGGCACTTCGATTGATTTCCCATCTGCTCGCCACTTGCGCGCATTCTCTCTCTTGGTTTCTTTCGCTTCTCGGCCTCCATATCTCGACAGCCTAGTCCACCCCACGCTTGGAGCTTGTGACAACACCATCGCATCTACCCCGACGTCGCCCTGGTCTCTCTGCTCCGCTTCTCGGCATCGTCGTGCGTCCATACTGGCTAACCCCGGATAAGAACGACGGCGGTTGACCGTGGGTGATTCAATCTGGTCATCTGCATCGTGCGCCGCACATCCGCAACGCGCCAGCTCACGCCAAGTGTCCTGGTGTGTGTGTGTGTCTTGGTCTGACGTCTCACAAATCCCCATCGCATTGCCCCATTCTAGCTCTTCGTCCAGACTCAGCTTATTCCACCCGCAATACTACTACGACCAACTCGGCACACCACGCGCGCCAGACCCGACCATTCAGTCAGCGAGGCACCAGACAGACGTCCCCGAACACTGCCTAACCCGCACCTCTCCGACTAACCACCCAACACTACAGAGTGCTAGTGTTGATGATTGGAAACCTTGTCTTTGTCTGCTGTCACCAGACCCCGTCCTTCATTTGACTCGGTTGGCCGACGTCACTTCTCATCTCCACCTCCTCTTCTCTTCTTCGGTACCTGATCAATTGAGACGCAGGTGGGTGCTGCTGCTCAACAGCCCCAGATCGCCATAATTCCTTCGTCAACTTCATCTCGTCTCCCTTCCAACATTCCTCTACGGACCCTCCCTGCCCGATCAGATACCGACCAAGACGCCCAGGCCGCTTCGCTATTGGGCTTTCCGGGCCACGCCGCCTCTAATCATCGTCGGCGGTCCTCCAGCTCCGAGTCATCCTGGACTGACACCGGCGATATTGGAGATCAACTTGGCGACGAACTCGATCCTGTACGTCTTCAGCTGCCCGAAGAGCTTGAGCAAGAGCTCCTCGCTGGTGTGCAGAAGCGTCAGCCCAAGCACAACAAAAAGGTCCGCATACGCGACCCGTCGCCCCAGCACTACGATCGATCCCCCTCGTTCCCTCGAACTATCGACAAGGAGGCCATCGAAATCCCCCAGATCAAACCGCAACGGCCCTCGCGCGCTCAACGTTGCATCGGAGCCATCATGTCGGGGCGATCGGGTTCCATCCACGGCCTGACGGGCAAGGCCCTGCTGTACGAGATACCACACCACGTTTTCAACACTTGACTGTAGCGTGCATGCTAACACGATTTCTTAAAGTTATTTCACCAGCATATTTGTTTCTCTTGGCGTGTTTCTGTTTGGTTATGATCAAGGCGTTATGTCGGGCATCATCACGTATGGTCTATCCAAGCCACCCGAAAGCATACGGCTGGTGGGCATGTCCTTGCTAACAAGACATCATTTATAGTGGCCCTCACTTCATCGACTATTTCGACCATCCCTCCAAAGCTCATGTCGGTACCATGGTGGCAATTTTGGAGATTGGCGCCTTTATTTCATCACTAGTCGTCGGCCGAGTTGGAGACATCATTGGCCGAAGACGTACCATCTTGTATGGATCCTGCATATTCTTTGTTGGCGGCGCTTTACAGACATTGGCAAGCTCCATGGCCATGATGATGGTCGGCCGAATCATTGCCGGTGTTGGTGTTGGTATGCTTTCTACTATTGTGCCTGTGTACCAGTCGGAGATTTCCCCTCCTCATAATCGTGGAAAACTTGCTTGTATCGAGTTTTCTGGCAATATTATCGGTTACACAACCTCGGTCTGGGTAGACTACGGCTGCGGGTTCATCGACAGCAACATGTCGTGGAGAGCCCCCCTCTTCATGCAGTGTGTCATGGGGGCGCTTCTTGGTCTTGGCAGTTTGATCATTGTTGAATCTCCAAGGTGGGTTTTGATATTAGATGCAAATGCTTTGAATTTGTGATGCTAAAGTTGGTCCAGATGGCTTCTTGACAACGACCACGACGAGGAAGGCATGGTAGTCATTGCTAATCTATACGGAGGCGGCGATATTCACGACCACAAGGCCAGAGAAGAGTACCGCGAAATCAAGATGAATGTGCTTCTTCAGCGACAAGAGGGCGAACGGACCTACTCTGACATGTTCAAAAGATATTCTACTCGCGTCTTTATCGCCATGTCTGCACAGGCTCTAGCACAGCTGAATGGCATCAACGTCATCTCCTACTACGCCCCTTATGTTTTTGAATCTGCCGGCTGGGTCGGGCACGACGCTGTACTGATGACTGGCTTGAATGGCATTACTTACTTCTTGTCCACAATTCCTCCTTGGTACTTGGTAGATCGATGGGGTCGAAGACCGATCCTGCTGTCCGGTGCAGTTGCCATGACCATTTCTCTGTCGCTCATTTCATACTTCATCTACCTCGATGTCAAATGGACGCCGAGAATGGTAGTTCTTTTTGTCATGATCTACAACGCGGCGTTCGGCTACTCTTGGGGCCCTATCCCATGGCTATACCCACCGGAGATCCTGCCTCTCAGCATTCGATCCAAGGGTGCCAGCTTGTCCACAGCCACAAATTGGGCGTTCAATTGGCTGGTTGGAGAAATGACACCAATTCTGCAGGAATGGATCAAGTGGCGACTCTATCTTGTTCATGCTTTTTTCTGCACAGTTTCCTTCGTGATTGGTGAGTGCAACTTTTCGCCAAGTTTTCAGGGCATTGCTGACCAGCTACGCAGTGTATTTCGTCTACCCCGAGACTTGTGGCGTGCGTCTCGAGGAAATGGACTCCATTTTTGGCGATGCAAGCACCGTCATGGGTACACCATCCATGCATGCCGACACCGAATCCCTCATACGTGGTGGCTCGCCCGGGCCGTCCAGAGACTTTCCCGGAATGTCGCTTGATGCTGCCGCAGACATAGACGACGACCGCAAATCCCAAATCCACACCAATGGAGGTGAGGACCGAAGCATCGGTGGCTGGCTCTCTAGAGTGGTGGCTCGCGGCAGATCGCCGAGCGTCCGCAGCACCCAAGGTCGATATGCTCCCTTGGGTCAAGAGGAGAGCCGGCGCAATGATGAGTGAAGCAAAAGCAAGCATACCTTTTCGCAGTTAGAATTTTTGCATAAATAGACCAGACAGGTAGGGGGATGTGTGAACTAGCATACAGCGTCCTTGTTGGAATATGACGATTCACTAGGAGCCCAGGTTATGCCTAGATTTTTGGACGCTGTCAATTGGCGTTGGGTGTACGATCTGGGACCGCCAGTAAAGGCGTGTATATGACGAGGCATTGACAACAGTTGGCGTTTTACACTATCACCTGCGCGTCGCTAAGACGAGCGATGCTTCCATGTACCAGTTAAGACGGAACATTGGCGCCTCACGGCCGCGCACCCAGGCGCGTGCAGAGAGCGCGGGAACTTGAACAGGAATAATAGATACCTACCAGTGAAAAGAAACCCAATTTATATATGGACTTTTGAACCGGCATTTGCGGTCAACCCAGTCTTGTCCTCGAGACCAATTCAAAATGCTCTGTAAATGAGTGAGTCTCAGCCACTCGTCGCTTGCGTCATCTGTACAGGAGCCCAGGCCTGCAACCTTTACAAAATTACAATGATGAAAAAAGCCGACTCAATGGAAGTGCTGACTCTGAGGGTTCATTTCCAGAGAGTGGTTGTAGTTCAAGCTGCGTCGCGACTGGATTCAGTGACTTTCTGTGTACAATTTGCTCATGGTCTGGTAGCTTGGCTGAGAAGCAAGCAAGCCAGCAGTGCCAAGAAGTACGTCTCCGCACGGCCCATCCCACATGTGCACAACCCAGACGTCGGCTATCGAGATACAATTAACACTGTACAACAACCTCTTCAACTCCGGGCCACCAAGTACACCAACCACGAAACCATGGGGACCGAAGTCGTCCACGCCTACCGGCACCTGTACCGCTGCCTGCTGCGCGCGGTGCAGTACTCGTCGCCGGCGCGGTACATTGCGCGCGACCAGCTGAGGGGCGCGTTTAGGGAGACGCCGGCGGCGCTGGACGCGGAGGGCGTGAAGCGCACCGCCTGGTTCCTGGAGGCGGCGGGCAGGGAGAGGGGGCTGGAGCACGCGATTCTGAAGAATCTGCTGCGGGTGAGGGGCCAGAGGGACGCGGAGACGAGGAGCTGGAGGAAGAGCTTGGCCGGGACGGCGCAGAGGTGAGTGTTTTGTGCGGTGTGCGGTGTGTGGTGAGATCGCGAGGCTGACTGGTGTAGGGACGACATGAAGAGGGATAGGGGGGCGGCGTTTCAGCACTACGACATGACTGTTGCCATGTTGAATAGGACCATGGGCCTTTGTCTGCGGTGAAGAGTTGGGTTGGGTGTATGCATTTGTTGTCGGCGTTTGCGGATGCTTTACTTGCGAGCTTTGGGTGGTGGGCACGGGTATTCAGCGGGTTTCTGAGGGCGGGGGCTAGGATGGCAAAGGGATTTTTGTTTTTATGATACATTCGACTGATGGAGCTAATCAAGCAATAATACAAGGTTATGCGTGGCAAAAGAATATCCATGGCTGAGGTCCTGCGCCTGGCTGACGGGGCCTGGACTGGCTAGCAGGTGGCGGGCTCCTCGATGACAATATCTAGCTCTTCTAGAATCAGATCGCTTAGGCTGACGCCGTCACGGGTGTAGATCCAGCTCCCTGAGCCGGTGCCCTCCTTCTCCCCCTGGCCCTCGCCGATGATGCACCAGTCGTATCGTTTGGGGCCGGAGATTGGACTCGATAGCCAGATCTGCTTGTTCGGGGGCTGCTTGTTGATGACGTATGTGCCCTTGTCTGCGACATTGATGGTCATGACGCCGGACTGTAAGCAGCGCGGATTAGTGGCCTGCTCTTGGAGGGCTTGTATGGGGGTGGAAAAGACGGGGAGGCACAAACTGAATATTCAATGTCAATGTCCTCTCGTGCGTCCTGGAGCTGCTCGAATTTAGACAGAACAATATCCAAGTAGCCATCAGCCAGCTCGTGGTATTGGCCGTCAGATAGCTCGGCTACGCCCATACTCGGTCGGGTCTCCTCAACACCCTGCTTGGCGGGATTGTCGGTCTCGGGCATGATGCCTTTGAAGCGTCGAAATGATGTTGAAAAGGGCTGGTATGGGAGTCGGTTTGACAGAGGTCGGAGGACGTTGGAGGCGCGAGGGAGCAGTCTGAAGCTGGAGCGGGTGACATTGGACCGGCAGGTGGCCTGAGCCATGAGCCTTGAGGTTTGCGTGACTCCTTGTCGTGACATGTTTGGGAGGGCGGCGTTGAGGCTGAGGTTCGTAGGTTGACGGTCGTTTGCGATACCGCGGAGTGGTGGTTCGAGCCAGACCAAGGAAAGGTTTGGAGACGGGGCGAAACTCAGGGTCCGGCGAGAATTCAGTTCTCGCAAGTGTGGATAGGGTAGCGGGATCTGAAGTTTCCAATGGCTGAGCTGTGCCTTGGGAGAAAAGGGTCGAAATGGCCAGATGTCAATTCGAGAGGAGAAAGCGGAGGAAAGGCCAATTCGGCATGCGGCTCAGCAGGTCAACGCATGATCTGATGCTGCCGATGAGCTCCCCGCGCTGTACGCCAAGCTGCAGCTGTGGTTGGACATCTGGAGCTCTTCCCGGTTGCGCTAGCTGGGCCCCCGAGCGCTCAGTGCCACGCCTCGGAAATCGCCTTAGTCATCGTCTTTTCCCGGCAGCGTCGCCTGTCCCTCGACTGCCCCACCAGTTTGATTGCGTGCATCGGGCGGACGACGAACTATCCCGCCATACTTGCCTTCCCATCGTTTCGTCGACATTGGGAGTCTTGGCTTTTGCGACCATGATTAATGCTTTTCTGGTCTTCAACGGCCAGGGACAGCCTCGTCTGACTAAATTCTATACACAGTTGGTACGCCGCGCTCGTCTGTCGCCAAACTATCAAGGTGCCAACTACTGACCGCACGTCCCACAGGAGACGAGCATCCAGCAGCGACTGATATCCGAAATCTTTACCTTGGTTTCAAACCGGCCAAACGGCTCTTGCAACTTCCTGCCCCTGCCGCCTCTTCTGGCTGCGTCTGGCACCTCGCACTCCTCGTCCAAGGAGCAGAATGACGTGCCGTCCCTCGTCACATACCGCAACTACGCGACGCTCTACTTTATTATAATATCCACCTCTACCGAGTCGCCCCTCGCCTTGATTGATTTGATCCAGGTTTACGTCGAAGCTCTGGACAAGCTGTTTGAGAACGTGTGCGAACTCGACCTCATCTTCAACTTCGAAACATTACATGCGACGCTGTCAGAAATGATCATAGGCGGCGTCGTGATAGAAACAAACTTGGACCGCATAGTCTCGGGGGTCAGAGCACAGGGTACCGTGGCCAAGCGGCCGGTGAACGAGGGGAGAAGCACGGGGATCGGTTCGGGTTTAGGCATGGGTGCTAATTTCGCCTGGGCTGGCCGATGATCAGGACGGTTTTGATGCGACTGGTTCTCAAACTATGACTACGATGCCGATGAAGCTATGATACAGGTTGGTAATGTACATGATCGTTTCTTACAGTAATACCGAAAGTTGCGGGGAGGCGCAGGGTATTGTGATGCTAAACGCCGGAAATGAAAATAGAAACACAGGAAGAGAATGTATTATTTGGGTTTAGATTCGGGCTGTTGCGTCGACAGCTTTGGCTCTGGAGCGTCCGGTCGTCGCTCATAGCGCTTCTCCGGGTCAATGACTCCGAAAAGGTTGCGCGCGTGACGGCGCATCTAAGGAGTGTGTCAGCAGTTATATTCCGTAGAAGAAACGAAATAGGACTGGAAATTTGACAGACCTCTTCGGACGGCTTGTATTGCTTCCCCCACCATTCAAACTCGGAATAAAAAAGCAGCCAGACAAGGGCGGCTAGAAAACATCAGTGAGCAACAATGCCGACATTTTGTCGTTGGCGCGAGGAAATATAAAATGGGACACGGGCTCACCTGCGATTGTTGCCAGCTGCGCAAACTTGACGCCCTTTTCCCACCGTGGCGACCTGCTGGCCAGGAATATTCTGCGCTTGTACTTCTTTTCAAAGCGCAGCTGCTGTGCGTGGTTCAACTCCTTGAAGTTGGGGGGCCATACTTTGCGTGCTTGGTACGGGTTGTTGAACACGGTGAAGGGCACCTGCTTGGGGAGAGAGTCTTTGCCCGACTGAGCTAGTCGTCTTGCAGTGGCTGCAAACATGACTCTCTCTCTTTTTTTCGTGATGGTTGTGTGCGGAGGATGCGACACAGGGTGACTCGACTCGCTTTTTGATGCACCGGTGTTCGCTGTTGCCGATGTCGTGGATGCGTCGGTTCGTTGGTTGTGCGTCGCCAGCCGATGCTCTCTGTCGGCGCTAGCCAATGGTGCAGGAAAAGGTGCACATTGACTGCATGTGGACATCTAGTTTTATTGGCCAGGCCGCCTTGTCAGTTAGTAGATCCGGGCAGCGCCGCTTTTACGCGGGGACAGCTGTGGCGTTTGTACAATTACTTCCGGACTTGGACGCGGTCGCCTGAATGTTGCATCTCAAGTCCATCGTCGTACTCCTTACACAACAATGGACATTTTGAGTTGTACTGAGCGAAGGACCCCAGCCAATAGTCACCTAATTTTTGATTCGATATAACGCCTACAAGGTCTCGCAAGGAAAGATCTAGACACCCCATCCCGACAGCATGTCATCAATAGCCTTCTCGGCCCTCGCTCTCATCTTGGCATTCTCCTCCCTCGTTTGCCGCCTCAACATGTCCACACTGCCCAGTTGCCACGGGAAAAGCATGTCGGTCAAAGTGTTAAGCTTCGCCAGCGTCGTCATTCCGCGGATATCCCTTGGTCGAAGCCCGCCACGCTCCCCCATAACCTCGTCCCATAGCTTTGCGAGCTCCCACGCGTCGGCGTGCTCTTCTTCCCCTGCTTCTGTGCTCGCGCCAAAGTTGCCCGTTAATATGGCCCGTCGGAGCTTGTCGGACTTTTGCTCGCGTGTAGTGCCGTGAACGTCATGGAGCGAGGTGAAGAAGAACTCGTGGGCTGGATTGTTGACGCCGGCAAAGTCAAAGTCGACGATGCCACTGATGCGCTTCTCTTCGGCGTCGTAGAGCATGTTGCTCATAGCTGTAACGTGAGTGTCAGCGCATCGCTTCAGAACAGAAGGCATTGTGGAATCGTTACTGACTAAAGTCAAAGTGCACAAAGCCAAGCTTGGACATATCAACGCCCGCATCTTGAAGTACACGGCGTAGCGTCACATTGAGAAATTGCTCGATGCGCTCACGGATCCCGTGGACTCGCCATCCCTGAATCAACTCGTTGGCATCGGCTTCTTTTAGCTGACAGAGCATCTGGTGCCTCCAGACTTCATCGTACTCGCGCCATGGACCACCTGGCGCTCCCTGAATCGTCTCCTGGCCAGAGATAATGTTTCCTTCTTTATTTATGGTAAAACCACCAAAACAATCGACTCCAGGCGGCAACTCCACCCTCTGGATAGACGAGAAGATGGAGGCAATTTCAGGAATTATCAACTTCTTCTCCGCCATGTCGAAACTCTTAAACTGCTCGTGCAAGGGAGACCCCGTCAAGTACTCCATGACGATCCATCCGAATCCCGTCTCATCGACTGGATGAGGTCCAGCGGCCGCTTTCCAAGCATAGACGGCCGGCACGAGGGAGGCATATCTAGAACCTAGCTGTGCGATAGCACCGCGCGCGAGATGCATTGCTGCAACCTCGTTTTCAATACGGTTTGTGTTGTTCAAGCCCATGGCTCTGGGATTGCTCATCCGCACAATGACAGTAGAGACCCCTTCTGTAGGAGGCAAATCAGTGCATGGCTGCCGCCGCCATACCTGCTCTGATCCTGTGAAATGTTCTGCCAGAGCAGGCGACGACAGTTCTACCTTGTAGATGAAGTTGTTATAAGGAAAGGTTTGATCGTCAGCCCACCTCACAGGAGTAATCTCGACGCCCTTTTTACCAAAACAAATTAGTAACTAAGAAATTGCCGGCACTACACAACGTGACGCTTTTCTTCTCTTCCGTCTTCAACATCTAGGTGCTTGACGAAATATATCAAAGATAGAGAAAATACACAGCTCGTAATTGACACCAAGTTGGTGCCGCATTCAACCTTGACGAGCCTCTTGGCCGAGTCCGCGGATCACATCCTTGATCACAACCATGCGGCGCTCGAAGCTTTCCTTGTTTTGGGGGACCATTTTGAAGAGAGTTCCGATTCCGTAACTTTCTTGCTGGCCTGAATTGCCGGACTTGGTTTCACGTTAAGTAATACTTAAAAGTCCTGGTGCTCTGGGACTCTGAGGACCAAATGGTCCGGGAGAGCAGCTTATGATTGCGGAGCTATTTATACTCACGATTTCGTCCCCAAATTCAGAACTTCTGCCTACGGCTGCTGCCTAAAAAGCCTTCCTAACTACCTCTAAGTACTTTTAAGTAGGTAGGGAATGTTGACTTGAGTGCTGACTGCTGCTACCCCATGCCGAGCACCACCTCGAATTAAGCCTTCAATGTTGTAAAAATGGCGAGGGCACTAAACCAAACATGGATTCAGCCACAGGCACTCAGCAAGCATCGATCCCGGAAAAACGGCGGCCAGGGCACCGCTCAACTCTGCGCTGGTCGATCAGCCACACCCAGCCTGCCGTCACTGGTGCCCCGCGATTTTCACCCCTCCTTATGGCCAAAGGGCCACTTCGTCGGTGACTCAAAAAATTCCACTTACGACAATACATACTGCGATTTTGCCAGATTGCCTGCGCAAACGAACAAGAGTGAGGCAGGGGCGATCCTATCCCGCAAGTGAGTCAAATTGAGAATCTCCATCACAAGAATAAATACTGTGCTTTTGGCGGTTAGATGCGAAACTATGTCTGATGCTGATAAGCTTGAAATCACCTGCAGGACTCCAATATGGCTACAAATTCCGTGCCCAAGGCTATGGAGGCCTTGTCTATTTCTAAGACGAAAGAGTTGAAAGGGGTATGCGAGCCTCATTTGTCCTTTACTTTGCTAAGAACTTGTTCTGATAATTTCCCCGCCAGACCGAAAAAAGAGACTCCTTGATTGCCGTCGAGAAAAAGTACCAACAGAAATGGCAAGATGACAAAATCTTCGAAGTCGACGCTCCTACAACCACCGAAGTGCCTCTGCACTCAATCCCCGCCGCTGAGCTACGAGAAAAGGTTCCCAAATTCTTTGGATGCATGGCATATCCCTACATGAACGGTACTCTGCATGCTGGCCACACATTCTCGGCCAGTAAAGTCGAGTTTGCCGCTGGTGTTGCGAGAATGCAGGGCAAGCGTGCTCTGTTCCCCATGGGCTTCCACTGCACCGGCATGCCTATCAAGGCGTGCGCTGATAAGCTGATTAATGAGATTGGAAAGTTTGGCGAGGACTTCTCTGGCTACAACGAGGAAGAGGATGATGCTGCTGACGAGAAACCAGCCGCGGCACCCGTTAGCCACACCAAGGAGGATATCACCAAGTTCACTACCAACAAGAGCAAAACCAAGGCCAAAACCGCCAAGATGAAATACCAATTCCAAATTATGCAGGCGATTGGCATCCCCACAAAGGAGATTCATCAGTTTGCTGACCCTCAACACTGGCTCAAGTTCTTCCCTCCTCTGGCGATTCAAGACTTGACCAGCTTTGGTTGCAGAATTGACTGGCGCAGGTCTTTTATCACGACTGACGCGAATCCTTACTATGATGCCTTTGTCCGATGGCAAATGAACCGCCTGAAGGAGCTGAACAAGATCAAGTTTGGAAAGAGATATACCATCTACTCTATCAAGGATGGGCAGCCTTGCATGGATCACGACCGCGCCGAAGGAGAGGCGGTCGGTCCCCAGGAGTATACTGCCTTGAAGTTGAAGGTCTTGGAATGGTCACCCAAGGCTGCTGAGGTTGTCAAGGGCAAGGTTCCTGACAATGCTGAAATCTTCTTGGTTCCGGCAACTTTGAGACCCGAGACCATGTATGGCCAGACTTGCTGCTTTGTTGGGCCTAAGATCACGTACGGTCTGTTCAAAGCTGGTGAGAACTCATATTATGTTGTCACTGAAAGAGCTGCTCGCAATATGGCGTACCAAGGCATCTTGGCCCAGGAGGGAGTTGTTGAGAAAGCCGGCGAAATCCAGGGCACTGACATGGTCGGCACTTTGGTACATGCACCGCTGTCATGCCACAAGGAAGGCGTTCGTGTCCTGCCGATGGAGACTGTTTTGCCCACCAAGGGAACGGGCGTCGTCACCTCTGTGCCCTCGGACAGTCCTGATGACTTTGCCACCGTTACCGAGTTGGCCAAGAAGGCCGACTACTACGGCATCAAGAAGGAATGGGCTGAGTTGGAGATCTACCCCATTATTGAAACCCCTTCATATGGTGACTTATGCGCGCCTTTCTTGATCAAGAAGTTGAAGATTGCTTCTCCCAAGGACACCAAGCAATTGGAAGAGGCCAAGGAGTTGTCTTACAAGGAGGGTTACTACCAGGGCATTTTGAAAGTCGGTGACTTCAAGGGCGAAAAGGTTGAGACTGCCAAACCCAAGGTTCGCGCCCAGCTGATTGATGCCGGCGACGGATTTGCCTACTCGGAGCCTGAGCGAAAGGTCGTTTCTCGATCTGGAGATGACTGTATTGTTGCTCTGATGGACCAGTGGTATTTGGATTACGGTGAGGAGAAATGGAGAGAGACTGCCCTGAAATGGGTTGAGAACGCCGATGGCAAGGGCTTGAACACTTGGACCGCCGAGACCAGGCACAGTTTCGAAGGTGTCTTAAACTGGTTGAACCAGTGGGCTTGCGCCCGTACCTACGGCTTGGGATCCAAGTTGCCCTGGGATCCCCAATTCCTGGTTGAGAGTTTAAGTGACTCCACCATCTACATGGCCTACTACACCGTGTGCCACTGGTTGCACAAGGACCTGTATGGGCGTGAGAAGGGTGTCGGAAATATTGCTCCTGAACAACTGACAGACGACGTCTGGGACTATCTCTTCTGTCGTCGCGACTTGAGCGAAGACATCTTGAACTCATCCAAGATTCCCAAGGCTACACTGGAGAGTATGCGCCGTGAATTCGAATACTTCTACCCGTTGGATGTGCGAAGCTCCGGCAAAGACTTGATTCCCAACCACTTGACCTTCTTCTTGTACATTCACTTGGCCATATTCCCACCTGAATACTGGCCACGAGGTATCCGAGCCAATGGTCACTTAATGCTCAATGGAGAGAAAATGGCCAAGAGTACCGGTAACTTCATGACCCTGCGCGACTTGGTCGAAAAGTACGGCGCCGATGCCTCGCGTATTGCCATTGCTGACGCCGGTGACGGTGTATCTGATGCCAATTTCGAAGAAGATGTCGCCGACAACAACATTCTGCGCCTGTTCAACTTGCGTGAGTGGTGTGAAGAGATGGTCAGAGACGAAGCTGATCTGCGCACCGGCGAGACCAACACCTTCCAAGACGCCCTCTTCCACAACGAAATGAACGGCGCCGCGCGCGAGGCCATTGACCAATACGCCCAGACCAATTACAAGCTGGCCCTCAAGGCCGCTCTGTACGAATTGACAGGCGCCCGGGACTTCTACCGCGAGGCCTGCGCCGCCGGCGGCATCAAGATGCACAAGGACCTGGTGTTCAAGTACATCGAGCTGCAGGCCCTCCTGATGGCCGTCATCGCCCCCCACTGGTCTGAATACATCTGGTTGGAGGTGCTGAAGAAGCCCAGCACCATCCACGACGCTACCTTCCCCAGCATCCCTCCCGTCGACGCCACCTTGTCCGCCAAGCGAGACTACGTGCGCAACACGGCATCCAACATCAACTCGGCCGAGGGCCTGCAGCTAAAGAAGAAGGCCAAGGGCAAGGAGACCTCTTTCGACCCCAAACGCCCCAAGAAGCTGACCATTTACATCTCGGACAAGTTCCCGGCCTGGCAGGCCAAGTACATCGACCTGCTGAAGGAAATGTGGGATCCAGCCACAAAGTCCGTCAACGACAAGGAGCTGAATGGAAAGATCGCCAAGATGGGCGAGATGAAAAAGGCGATGCCCTTTGCGCAGACCCTGAAGAAGCGCCTGCAGTCGGGCGAATCCCCCAGCGTGGTCTTGGAGCAAAAGCTTGCGTTTGATGAAAAGGAGACGCTGGCGCAGATGCTGCCTGGCTTGAAGAAGGCCGCCGGCCTGGTGGAGTGTGACGTGTTGGTGGTCGAGGAAGGCGGCAAGAAGGGCGTGAACCTCGTCGACGGCACGGGGGTTGATATCACGGCGCCGACGGCGGAGAATGCTGTGCCTGGGGTGCCGACGTTCTTTTTTGAGAATGTTGATGCGTAGAAAGCATTACGATGGATGGGTGTTCTGGCGATTATGCTGCGGGGGACTACTAGGTTGGTAAAAGACGATAAATCAGGTAGACATGATTTGTTTATTTGCTGCTCTTCACGGAAGTAATATCATATATGTGACGCGTGAGCCATGGACTATATTGAATGCTGCTGCTGAGTGAGCTCAAGGCATTGAGACGGACGGGCCTTCATCCACGATGCGAATTTTTGACAGAAGATGAGACGAAATCAAGGACAGAAGCCTGTCATCGCACAACAATCAGGTCGTGTTGTCGTTGCCACTCTCACGGATGCAGGATTGCGTGCTTGGTATACGACCACGAAGTGAAGCATGCGCGCGAGGATAAACATGTTTGCATTCATTCACGAGATGCGCCATGATTGACGGTC